ATGTATACTTTAGATAAATTATGTTTATGCCTTACTGTTTACATGGTAGTCCACACTTGTCAGAGAGGGTACTTTTCGAGACCTCCGACCTCCAGTAGATGCCTGAAATCACGGGTAATGGCAAATCTTATATGTACTATTTTTTTCTATGCATACACATTTTAATTTATAAATTAGGAAAACTAAGAGATTTACAAGAAGTCTTAATAATAAAATAGACAGTTATAACAACGTACCATGATAAAATTATTTACAACTTGTGAATTCTTTATTTCTGGAATTATACACTTAGCATTTTGACTGCTAATATTTTAACTGCAGAAAGTGAAACCACTGACAAAGGGGAACTACTGTATCATTATGTATTTTGTGAAGCATAGAAAAAATTGAAATAATCTTAAAAGAGTATGTCCCAAATGTCACTTTGTTAGGGTCTTTTCTTTTTATTCCCATGCTACTTGTTTTCTTCAGATTTAAACTGCATTGATCTCCATACTGTTTTGTTTATACAACCTCTCTTAAGTCGAGGTTCTCCCAGAAAAGCAGGCAGCGGGGAGGGGCAAAGAGAGGAGAAGAGAAATATGAAGAGAAAGAGGAAAGAATGGGATTTACGTTCATGTGACTGTGAGACTTGCAAGTCCAAAATATACAGAGCAGGTTGCTGGAAATTGATACAAAAGTTGATGTTGCAATTTGAATTTGAAGATTGGAAGCACAGATAGAATTTTTATCTTACATTGTGGAGACAGACTTCCTTCTCCTTTGAGGGCTTGTCAATCTTTGCTCTTCGGGCTTTCAACTGATTGGTCAAGGTTCACTTACATTATGGAAGTAATTGATTTTACTCAAAGTCTATTGATTTGAATGCTAATGACATCTAAAAATACCTTCATAACAACATGTAGACTGATGTTGGACCAAAGACCTGAATTCTGTATTCTGTATAAATTGATGCATAAAATTAACCATCACATGTTCCTATCACAGTTTGTCAGCTGGAAATTCTGTGACAACTGCCTAACTTACATTCCAGCCTCCTGTCCCTCCATATTGTCATAAAGACTTTTGAAGAAAAAAGGTTGTTATGGGGTAGTTCATTTGGTTCTAGGCAGCACAGAAATCATATTTATTGCAGTAGTGTTCATATTCATTGCTTTAGTGTTTTCCAACTGGAGTTATCACAGAATTTAAAGCTCTGTGCAATTTGACCCCTCTACTTTTGCAGCCTCATGTCTTGGCATTGCCAGACTTAAATACCTTCTAGCTACTCACAGACTTAGTTCTTCATGTGTGCTGATAATTTTCCTGCCTCTGTGGCTTTGCTTTATGGGACAGAAGCAATACTAACACAAAGCAAAATGGGATACAGTTACAGGCTACGGGAGAAGAGAAGCAAATTTAAATAATTATATTATTTTGAGATCCAAATAACCTTTATTATGGGTGGAAGATTAAAAAAGGTGATATTCTGGGAAAATCTGGTAAAAGAACTTGACTGCTATAGGTGGAAGGGTCTTCAGACAAAAGAAAGTGGCAGACAGATAACACAGAGTATAAACTTTATTGGAGATTTACATGTAGACTCATGATCAAAGGTGGCAGAAAGACTGGTGGATCCTGGGACTTTGGTCAGAGGATGGGGGATTCTGTAGTCACCAGGATTAAAGGGACATTGTTGAGCTGGAATGTGCCTGGTTTACCTTAATCTAATATCAAAGATACCAGGCACATTCTTGGTGCTGACAGTGCCAGGATCTGGTCATAAAACTTTACATACCCCTCGAATGGTTTTGTTTATTTATACTATTCTGGGAAACTATGTGGGGAAAACAGGTCAGAATTACTCAGGGTACGGCGTGACAGCTACAATTCAAAATGGCTGCAACCCGGTCAAGCTGGATCCCTGCAGATATATAGTGCCATGATCTGAGTAGTGGGGCTGGGCTGATGCTTAGAGGTGGAGCCAGTGCCTGGTATAGGCAGGGCCCTGAGTTTAGTCTCCAGCAACACAAAAATTAAGTAAAACAAAAATAAAGTTGCATTGGAACTAGATTGTGTCCCACACAAAGTCATGTGTTGAAGTCCTAACCCCCAGTATATCAGAATACAAGAATATTTGGAGATAGCATCTTTGTAGAGGCAGTTACCTGGAAAAGCATTCATATAGGCAGGCCCTAATGCAGTATTACGGGAGTTCTCATAAGAAAGGAAATGAGAACGTAGACACAGAAGGGAGACCATGGGAAGACACAAGGAGAACAGCCATCTGCAGTCCAAGGAGAGAGGTCTCTTATGAAACTAACTCTGCTGACACTTTGATCTAAAACATCCAGCCTCCAGAACTGTAAATTCTGTGTATCTAATTCACACAGTGTGTGACACATCATTATGGTGGACCTTGAAAATTAATCCAGATGGAACAGGAAGGGGCCTAGGGAGCAGAGCAAGATAAAGCTAAGGAGCAACAGAAATGCTGACTGTGTTGTGCCTGTGGATCAGGCATCTGCATTACTACTAGGTAACAGCTGACAGGTTGGCCAGTTTCCAGAATGTGTTGGAAATTTGCCTGGTACTTGTATTAACCATTTTCTAGAGCTTTATTTGAGCATCTTCAAGAGAAGAGAGCTTTTTAGTACCATGGTAGAGCTTCCTCTTCAAGTATGAGTCACTTCTTGACTGTGAGGGGAAATCTTTGCTTCCTGGACCTGTGAGGGTCTCTGGTGATTATTAGAGGCCCAGATGGCAGGGACAGCATGTGGTAGAGGTTCTCTTGCTGCTTTAGTTTTGAGTTATTGTGGTAGACATGAGAGAGCCACAGAGACCTTTTGTCATCCTTTTTAGTTTGGGTTGGCTGAAGTGCCAGCACTTCTTTTAATTTTTCCTTTCTCTTCTTTTTAAAAATTAACTATTTTTAGTACAATTTTAGATTTGCAGAAAAATTGTGAAGACAGTACAAAAAGTTCCCATAGTTCCTATTCATATCTTTCATTAACAAAGTACATTTGTTTTAATTAATGGGCCATTGATTCAATTTTAAATCTATATTTTATTCATATAACCTTAATTTTTTTGGTACCAGTGATTGAACTTGGGACCTTGTGCTTTTGAGGTATAACTGTAATTTTTATCTAATGTTCGTTTTATGTTTCAGAATCTCATTCATAACATCATATTAAAATGAGTGCCCCTGTCCCTTTAGATACCTTTTGTTTGTGACGTTTTTTCAGGCTTTCCTTGTTCTTGATGACCTTGTCAGTTTGGAAGAGTAGTGGGCCAGGTATTTTGTAGAATGCCCCTCATCGAGATTTGACAATTTTTTTCAAGATTAAATTGTATTTATAGGTTATTAGGAGGAATGCAGAGGTAGTGCCTTTTAAATCACGTATTAAGGATATCTCCTATCAACCTGAGTAATTACTGTTGGTGTTGACCTCGATCAGATGATGTGTTGTAGGCTTCTCTGGTATAAAGTCATGCTTTCCACCTCTTTTCCACACTGTGCTCTTTGAATCATGCTTAGGTCATGATGTGGGGCACATACATAAGGATTCAAGGCCTTCAGGTTTTTTAAAACACAAAAAATATATGAAGCAGTTTTTGAAGAGGAGGGGCACGTGATGCATAATTACAGGAGTGGGGGAAAAGCTGTGCTTTGTTTGTTAATTTTAATTTTGAAACAAGCCTCATAATATTTTTGTGAGAAGTAAGAAATGTGTGAATTTGACTACTGTAATGTTTTGAATAAAAATATAGTCAACCCTTGGCCTTGACCTTCTTTGTTGATTTACAAAAGCATTCAGTTTTTATCTGTACCACTAGGACTTCTGTGATATTGCTTTGGCCAGAGAGAGAATGATTACAGTGAGGCTATTAACATTGTTTCTTAAGGCGGTACCTTGACAGTTAAATTTATTGGTTGGATACACAGGAGTATTTTACAGCCTGTCCTTGGATTCATTCTTTTTTGAGATTAGTTTATATTCTTAACTTTATTACCTCCCTCTAGTGGTCAGTTTTATAATATCAAATTCTACTTGGATGGATTCATTGGAAAAAAATATCCAGCATTTAATAGTCGGGTAAAAATTAAAAAAAAATTTTTTTTTAGTATAGATCCCCAAATGTTCAGTGATTGAATTTTATCTGTTCTTTTGTGTTATAAAGTAATTTTTTTAAAGTGGGGGAATGTTTTAAGGTGGTAAGAATTTCAACTTGATTAAAAGCTATAATCAGGAAGAGGTCATTGTAAGCAGAAAGTTTTACTTAGCTGCTGTCATACTGAGAACCTCAGCAGCCGTTTGATTCTTAAAGAATTGAATTAGGCTTTTTGTATTTATCAGTGCCAAAGGAGCAAGTGCATATTCTAGATAAACCTGAAAGCTGCAAAACTTTAGGAGACTAAGAGTGAGGGACTCCTCTGAGCATTGTTTGTCATTTCTTCACAGATAAACTTTTATCTCCAGTGCAGGAAATGGCCTTATTTTAGAGATTTACATCTGCATTCATTGTTTGCCTATGGCTTTAAAAATGGAGCATTTTTAATAGTGTGATATCTGTGGATATACTTAGGGAGTTGAAATAATTTACCAGGCTTTGAGACTGGCTTTGTACATTTCCTGATGGATATAAAAGATGATGCAGAATTTGTCTGTGCAGGTTCTAGTCCTTTTGTAATGATTTCTAGTGTTTGTGTCTGGACCTGGCTGTGTATGATTCCATTGAGGTCCTGAGAGGATGGCTTTCAATGAAAGATAGTTAAATCAGTATGAAATCTGTGAGTTCTTCACACCTCAACTCCGGAGGCAGGGAATCCATTGTTTTCTTTTAGAAATAAGTGAAGAATTCCTACAGAGAACTCTTATTAAGGAAGTAGCCTATGTGTGCTTTTAATCCTTTTTGTTGCATATGAACCATGTAGATTGAGAGAAGATGGTGATACATCTTTGTTTCTCGGAAGACCAGTGCATTAAGTCATGTGATCTGTGTGTTGTTCCCACCAGCTCCACCTGATCCACTGGAACTCCACCCTGTATGGCAACATCGATGAGGCCGTGGGAAAGCCACATGGTATTTCCATCATTGCCTTGTTTGTACAGGTAAATGCTCTGCTGTGATTGTTTAGAGATGCTCATTTTTAAGTTATTTTGTAAATACTTTTTAGTTCTCTTTCAATTTTATTACTTAGAGGCGAAATTATACATATGAAGAGATCACTGATGATTTAAAAATAGACAATTTGATCTTTATGTAGTTCATGAAGGTTCCGTCTTAGAAAATGATCAGATGGGACCTCCAATCCTAGCTCTCTGAGGTATCTTCATACTGATTTCCACAGTGGTTGTGCACCAGTCCACACTCCTACCAGCAGTGGAGCACTGTTCCTCTTTCCCCACAGCCCCGGCAGCATTCATTATTGGTTGATTTCATGACAGCAGCCATTCTTTCTGGGGTGAGGTGAAGTCTCAGCATTGTTTTTATTTGCATTTCTCAAATGACCAGTGATGTTGAACATTTTCTCATATGTTTATTTACTATTTCTACTTCTTTGAGAAATTTCTGTTCACTTCAGATGCCGATTTTTGGATTGGGTCTTTAAATTTGGGAGGTCTGATTTTTTCAAAGTTGTTTATGTTCTAGATAGTAGACCTTTGTCTGAGGAACAGCTAGAATTTAGAAGTCCCATTTGACCCAGCCATCCCTCTGCTGGGCATCTTCCCCAAAGAATTAAAAGAATCATACCATAGTGATATATGTATACCCTGTTCATAGCAGCACAATTTGTAATAGCTAAAACTTGAAAGCAGCTCAATTGCCCATCCATGTTAGGCTGGATAAAGAAAATGGGGAGTTTTAAAAAATAAAATGGAGTTCTACTCAGCCACACAAAAAAGAGAAATTAGAGACAATTATAGCTAAATAGATGCACATTGAGGTGATACTCTTGAGTGGAATAAATAGGACAGACATGTAAATACTGAATAGTTTCTCTGGTGTGAGAAACTGAAAGTGTAAATAAGGACTGAAAGGTATAATAGATGACAGGGAACAGGAAGAAAAGGGACAAAGGGGAAGGAGAAGCTGGAGGAGTAGGGGAAAGGAGAAAAGGGAATGGAATTAATATAAGAAAATGAAAAATAATGGAAAAAAAGTGTTTGTAGATAGGGAGGGAGGGAGGGGTTGAATGGGGAAAAATAAGAACCAAGATTGATTATATAAAGGTACAAATTTCCAACAATGAATGTCATTATATTGTATACCATAAATGTACCAATAAAATTAATTAAAAAAGAAAATGGTTTATTTATTTATTAGAAATTTGCTTCAAAGAAGCATTGAGGGTCTTTGAAGAAGTGATTTAGAAAATGTCTCCTGAAGGCAGAGTTCATTGTATGTATGAAAAAGAATTTCAAAAAATGCTTTTAGACACTGGCTCACTGCAAAAAATCTAAGAAAAATCAATAATATAATCATGTAGGTAATGACATTAGCTCTTTGTTGTTAATAATTTTCACTCAAAGATGATTTGAAAACACTGATTATAAAAAGGCTTTTGAAGACCATGGTAGATTTAACCAATATGAAATTTAGATTTGAGCTTGGGGATGGGCAAAGGATATTATGTAAATTTATTCAAACATATAAAAATAGACCATATGCTTACAAAGGTAAAAAATTCATCCGGTTCTTAAGGCAAATCTTTTAAACTTTATCTTATCATTCACTTGCTGTGGTAAAAGATTTAGGGATAAATGATACCCTGGAAATTTTATTCCCACGTCTCTTCCCTGCAATCTTACATAAGAGAAGGCAAGGATCAGAGATGTCAAGTAATTATTTGTAGACACAGTTTAATATTAGCACTCAGGACCAAAAACCAGAGCTCCATTTCCATATGGTGGCAGTCTACCTCTTGAATGACCTTGGATTAGAACAGCATTGTTATTCCAGTGATCTTCAGTTAATTTTTCAAGAAGCATTGGAAATTGGGCCCTTTTAGGTATGTTCTTTGTAGCATTTATATTGAGAATGTTATTAGTTACACAATTTTATCTATAGATATAAAGTGTTTCGTTATTGATATATGAAAGTAGCCATCTGGTTTTAGCCTCTTTAGTATTTTAAAGCCAGGGTCTAGAAAATATGGCACATGATATAGAATTTAAAAGCAAATCCTTAACATTTAAAAATGAATCTTCACATTATTATGAAGAGTATAGCCCTACATTTCCTTCTATTTTATAATTACAATAAATAAATCGAATGGATTAAAAGTATTGATGCAAAAATTTTTAATTGTACATTTTGATAATCTTTAATCTATCGAACAAGTAATTTTGTTTTTTTTTTAGAAAAGATCTCAGTATGTAGTTGAGACTGACCTGGAGCTCACTATGGAGCCCAGATTGGTCTCGAACTCACAGCAATCCTCCTGCCTCAGCCTCCCAAGTGCTGGAGGTGTGCTCCACCATGCATGGCATTCGAACAAATAATTTTTAAAGACTCCTTTTATAACCTGAAAAAGTAAACCGAGGCACAAACTGGAGAAGTTGAAGTGGTAGGAGGCAAAATTTCAATATTAAAGAATAAGAATAATATAAAAATGAAGAAGTATCAAATATAGAAGGGAACAGAACAAGTTAGTTTCTGATAATAAATATTTGTGAATCAAATTAGATATAACTTAGTGCTTCCACGTACTGATCCTTCATGTGTTAACAGGTGACTGGGCCGCTTAGAGCCCTGAACTAAGAATCGAGCCTTGGACCTAGCATCAGGCATTCAGGAACCACCTGTGTCATGATAGGCACTTTCTTTATGTTTGCTATGAGGAAAAATTCAGGTCATTTAGGTGAAAATGCTTTTCTCAGGAGACTGTAAGAACAAAATTTCACAAAATAATGAAAGATGTACCTAGTTTTAGATGAAGCAGAGGTGAAGGGGTGAAACCTGCTCCAGGGACTATCTTTTGGCCAGAGATGTGGAAAACTGGAGGGATTAAGTTGGGAGCCTCGAGTGTGGACTGATCTTCCCAGAAACTTGACTGGGGGAGGAATCCCGAAGCGGCAGGATCTAGTGGTGATTTTGAGATCTGAGAGCTTGTGTTTTTAATCCATGCAAGAAGAGCTAGTGCAAGGATGGAGTTTAAAAATCTTGAAAAGAGAAGGCCTAGGTAATATAGAGAAATCCCAGAGGCAGGGTGGGGGCAAGAGATGTAGAGCTTATGTAGATGGACTAACTTGGGCAGGAGAGCTCTGCCCTTTCTCTGAAATAGCCAGTAGGAAAGATGAACACAAAGTGGAGAGAGGCCGGAACTTAAGGGAATTCATGTCTGATGACCTTCATTTCCTCTGAGACATACTTTTACCAAACAAGGGAAATATAGATGTTGTGGGTGGGCTTTGAAGTAGCCAAGAAGAGATTATGATAGACATGGCAGGCAGTGAGGCAGATCCACCAGAGGCTGGATGTAATAGACTGTACAGGACGGCGAGTGATACATTGTTCTGGAGAGGAGTAGAACATTCTAGAAAATCCTTGTGTTGATCCATTGGAGAGCAGATGATTTAGGAGGATGAGCAGATTGAAGACTCCAGGGATGGGAATGATATCATTCAGTGTAGATAAGAGGGATAAGAGGATAAAGCCAAGAGGGGCCTGAGAGCTTTCGCTTCACTCTGATGATTGGTAAAAATAAAAAGAGAGCATAGTGAGAAAGTATGGTCAGAGAGAATGGTCTCTGGGGGGTTGTTTTCAGAATGAAAGCAAATGCAGTGTATGGTCCTAGGATTGGTTCGCTCTGGAGGAATGGAGCTGAAAGGCATGGACTGAGAGATGAAGAGACATAAGCCAGGAATGGGCAGTTTATCCACAAAGATGCTTACACCTTCCAGAGTGATAGCAGCAGGTGATATCTAGGAGCAAGTGACTAGTGGGTTAGTAAGTGACCAGGAGGGCATGATGGCATTAGTGGGCGAGGGTCCACTCAAAGGACAGCCTTGTGCGTGTGGGCCAAAGTATCAGATTGAAGGTGACAGCTGAACACTGACTTATCTTTAATTCATTCTCCCTTGGAGAATACCTGGTGTCTGCTAGATGGGCCTATGAGAGATGTGGCCTGTGACAGACCTACAGGCTTTCACATAGACCAGAGGTGGTGTGGGAGTTGGTGAAGTACATGAGTTCATCCTGTGTCCAGGCAGCACAGAGGAAAATAAGGCAAGAATGAGTTAGATCCTGGCTCAGAATGAAAACATTTAGAAAGTAGCTACAGTCCTGATTATTTTGAACTACTTGGCCTGTCTTACATTGTTTCTTGTCTCCTTTTCTTTTCCCTTGTGTATTTCACAGCTTGATAAAACTTATAAACCTGGAGAATATGTGCATGTTGACAGTTGCTCTAGCATCTCACATGTGAGAGAGAAAAAGCTAAGAGCAATAGTAATTATTATCTGAAGTAATCGATGCCATTACCCTTCTCCATTGCTGTGGGTCATAAAGAGTTAATTGAAAAGTGGGAATCAGACAGTAGTTAAAATTTAAAAGTCAAGAATGCTAAATAGAAAAAATTTTTTTCACGTGTCAAATTTCTTTGGAGAATTTTGTACTCTAAAAATGTGTAATATTTTTAAATAGAAGGCTACAAAAAGCATATTTGCTTTTATATTGGCTTATAATCCTTTAATGTTTTCCCATTGTATTTGGGATACATCAGTTATCTTGAGTGACCCACATTGTTTAGCAAGGTATTGCCTACTCATCCATCCTTTTAGATCAGTCCACTCCCTTTATGTTTTCTTTCTGTCAGAGCTTTAAAATTATGACCAGTTATAATTGAGAAATGTCTTAATGTTGGTAACTTTAACATGTGAAATCACATACCAAGTTTTCTGAGTTAATAAAATAATTCCAACTTTGATACAGTATTTATAACAATAATTCATAAATGCAAAAGGTAAGAATGCAAGATTTTGGACATGTACCAAATAGTTTTAATTCAAAAATATCCTTGACATTTTGAAGTAGCAGTCTTTTGTGATTTGGTGTATTATATAAGGTACAGTGAGTGATATTTGTAAATGGCAAGATGATTTCAGAATAGATTCTTGGGTGTCATAGCTAATACTTTATTGTACTAACTGTTATAACTTTAATTACGTCTAGTAAATGTTGACCTTGCTATTAACAGAAAGATCATTTAATTCCCCAAGAATTACATTCAGGTGGACTGGAGCTTTGGTTCTGGTGGTTATTTTGAATAAAAGTAAGCAGTATTTAAAAATGCTGTGTTTATGGTTTACGTTTTATCTATTTCAGATAGGGAAGGAGCACGTTGGCCTGAAGGCTGTGACTGAGATCCTCCAGGATATTCAGTATAAGGTCAGTCATTATTTAAAAGAAAATAGAAACACATTTTGTTAGTGGTCCCTGAGATCACCTTTAGGCTTGGGTAATTGTCTAGAAGAGTCCAAAGGATGCAGAAAAGCTACTATACTATGGTTTTAGTTTATCATAGTGAAAGTTTACAGATCAAAAATCATCAAAAAGGAAAGGAACACAGGACTGTTGTTTAGGGGAAACCCAGAGTAAGCTTCCAAATGTTCCTTTGCAACGAGGTGCTAGGGGGATGCCCCAATTCTCCTAGTAGTGATGTGTTGTCACAGTGCTTATGAAACATTGTCAACTGCTGAGCTCACCCAAATTTAGACATGTAGACGTTTTGTCAGAGATTGGTCGCACAATTATGTTGTACTGCCTGACCAGCCTCAGCTCCTCACACTTCAGCCCCCTGCTCCACACTCCATCAAAATTGAGCTTCCATAAATCTCATTGTCAGAACAGATCTGCCGGGTCAAACTGGTGCATCATAGCTCAAGGACAGGCGTACACCAGGAATTCACCAAAAATATAGCATGGCCCAAGGCCTTAGGGATATTTGAAAACACACTTATGGGGTAGAATATTCCAGTGGTTTTCAGGAGTTATCTTTTGTGGGGTGCATCAGATCCTTGCACTTACGAGGCTGGTGACGGCACCACTGAGCTAAATCCCTGATCCTGGAGTTATCTTCTAAGAGCCAGCCAAAGGCTACTCATGAAAACAGATCTTATTTGGGATATAGATGATTTGACCAGCACAGGCCTGCAGAGTTAATCTTTCTGGCTCACTCACTGTAACAAAGTTGTGTAAACTAAATCAATACATTTTTGTAAATCAAAGTATTTGTGCTTAATAATAATATTAATAATACAAGTATACATAATTCATAAGATATCCTACAGAAGGCAATTTAGATCATCATGGTCCATCATTGCTGAGAAGCTAAGCTCTTATATGCCCATATTGAATTGAATGTGTTTGTCCATTGGTAGGCGAATGATTTTGTCCTCTATAGAACATTCATATCTGAGTTTCCAATCTTCACTTCTGGGTGAGAAGAGCACCCAGAGTAGATACTAATGATGAATTACTACATCCAGTGGCACAAAATGACAAAGAGTTTAGGAACTGAGACCCAGGCTGATGAGAGGAAATCATTTCATAAGACTATGAAATAGTCTGACTCAGGGTTCAAGGGTGTTACATCAGCCATTCAGTCTAAATCTTGTGTGTGAATGTGCTAGAAGTAAAAATTGTTAATGCAGAAGAGGTGGACACCAGTCGTAAATTCCATTCTGGAAATTATAGGGGAAATTGAATTACAATAGTAAAGAAAATAGCCATATTTAGAATAGAAGTATATTGTTGGAACCAAGCAATCTTGCTCCAATAAGAAGACAGAGCAATACAGATGTAAACCTAGAGTACTGATGGGGCCATTTCTAAAAGATTTTAGTGTAGATATTTAGTGCTAGAAATTGTTTAACAATTTATAAATTTTAGATTGATGTGGAGTCAATTTTTAAAAATCTTTTTCAGGGGAAGTCTAAAACAATACCCTGCTTTAATCCTAACACTTTATTACCAGGTAAGCATTTTTCTGATTGAATGAGCTTTAACTATGGGTCTAACCATACTGTTTTCCTCAGAATACACAATTATTAAAGTTTCTTTACAATTTGTATTCTCTGCAGCAAGTACCAGTTTCTGATTACTCTATATACTGGAGTAAATTTTTTGTTTACAGTAGAGAAACACTTTGCCACCAGTTCCATTAATCCACAAATACCTTTTTTAGGATAGTCATCTGTAAAATTGCTATATCTTTGTAAAGTACCAGTATAGTAAAATAACCTTGATACAACTCTAAGATTGATTAGTGAATTTCTTATTAATCTCTAATGTGAAATAAACTTTGCATGAAATTTTGTAAGGTAACTTTGCTGTAAAATATTGTTTAGGTACTATTCTAATTGTATTTGACAGGTAATAATTACATATAAAATATTGCAGTGTTATTTGCAGTTCAAGGTACTTTTATATAAAATTTTTGTCTTCACATTTCTTTGCATAAATTATGTTTCATAGTGCTTCAAACAAAACCAAATAAGCCCATGCATTGAATCTTATTCTTTCTATATTTAATTGCTTTAAAACTAATTACTGTTGTATGCAAAATATTTATCCATTGTATTTAATCATGAATTCCTCTAATGCAGAGCTAAACAATTTCATAAGAATAAATTATTTTCTCTTATAATGTTATGATTTTAATATTTTGCTGCTGAAAAAGCAGTAAAAATGTGGGCTGGGGATTTGGCTCAGTGGTTTCACCCCCTGCCTGGCAAGAGCAAAGTCCTGAGTTTCATTCCCAGTACCAAAAAAAAAAAAAAAAAAAAAAAAAAAAAGCAAGCGGCAACTAAAACCAACGGGTTGAAATATAGCCTTTGGCCATGCATTGTGGCTATGCCTATAGTTCTAGCACTGGAGAAGCTGAGGCAAGAGAATTGCCACGGGTTCCAAGTCATCATTGGCAACACAGTTCAAGGCCAGCCTGAACTACATAACAAGACCCTCTTTCAAAAAATGTATATATATGCACACATGCTTTGAAGCCAGACTCTATGGGTTCAAGTCCCGGCTCTGCATGTTATTCTGAGTGACCTTATACAGGTAGCTAACTTTCTGTGTGATTCATTTTCTCCATCTGTAAAATGAGGCTAGTAATAGTATCTATTTCATCAGTTGTTGTGAAGATGAAAAGAATTGATATATAATGCTCAGAACAGTACCTGGGATGTAGTTCAGTTAATAGTAGGCATTAATCAGCATGGTAAATCCTCTAATAAAATAAAAATGCAAAACAAGAAGATGAATATATTCTTCATAAATTATTTACAATTAATACATGTGCATAGTAATCTATTGATAGAAATCACTATAAATAGAAGATTCATCACAGTTTTCATAAATTATTTTTTCCATAATGATTAGTTGGAGAATACTTAAGTGAGGCTCTAACTTAAAAATGATATCCTTCTGGACCAGAGATTTAGCTCAGTGGTGATGTGCCTGCTTCTCAAGCTCAAAGTCCTGAGTTTGATCCCTGGTACCAAAAAAAAAAAATTGTTCTAAGACAATTTGTAATTTTGAAAATTGTTGTTGGAGTCTTCCAGATTATTGTTAATTAACTTGCGTTTTCATGACATGTCCATGTGGTTGCACAGACCCTCTGCTGCGAGATTACTGGGTCTACGAAGGCTCGCTTACTATCCCACCTTGCAGCGAAGGTGTTACCTGGATATTATTCCGATACCCTTTAACTATATCCCAGCTACAGGTGAGTATGCTCTTTTAAATGTTTCAGAGTGAAGTTCTGAGTTAAAGGTTAGATATTGTTTCTGTAGGACGAAAATGTCTGCTTTATGTTTTAGTTCCCTTTAGATCAGTCATACCGTTTCAAATGGAAGTTAAATGTCTTGAGCCAGTGAAAGCAATGGAAAGGTCAAGGATGAACAAGACCCAGCGGTCGTTTATGATATATAGTTTAAAAGTTAGTTTTTATAGAGTAAATAGAAGTCACTGGACCCCCCAAACTTTTTGATTAGTTTAGTTATTCCTTTATGTGAGTTTTCCCAGTTGTGGGAAAGAAAAAGGTCTAAAAGTAAAATGAGAATGCTGATATTTCTATAAGTGGCACATGGACTTCCTAATAGTTCTATCTTAGCATGCACAGGAATGCTGTGTGGTTGTGCAGTGGAGCTAGAAAGAATGCTCTGGAAGGTTTTGGATTAATCTTTAACTTTACTTATGGTCAACAACCTGTGTGGGCTTTTGTACTCTGCATAGGTGCTCTGAATGCTAAGGCAAGCTGATGTATCAGTGCTGGCTTGCAGTACCAGTTATTTGTGAGGCTGAAGTGAGAGAATTACTTGAGCCCAGGCATTCATTGTGTACTAGTCTGGGCAACGTAGCAAGATATTTTTCTCTCAAAAAACAAACAGAAAGAAGCAAACATGATAAATGCTAATACACATGAAGCTGGAGCACTCAAGTAAATGGCCACTGGAATGTTAGCTGGTAGAACATGAGGCAGCATCATAAAACACATTTAAACAATGATTTTGAAGGGCTTGGGGATGTAGCTAAGTGGCAGGGCATCTTTCTTTTGTGTACAAGGTCCTAGGTTTGATCCTCAGCACCACACACACACACACACTAAACTTTTGTATTATTATAAAATTTCAGATTTTCATATTATTACAAAAAAGTTACTTTAAATGTCTCCTGTTGTTCAGGAATCTGTCACAGAGTCATATTTAGAGCAAAACTTTAGTGAATTTTGTAATTTTAAAAACTATTTTCCAACATTTCTTAAATTTAAGAAATCCAAATTTACTGACTTCTCAGTCAGCCCTTCCTTGGTTTTTCCTTAAATCTTTAAAATCATTCTTTCAACATTTAACATTTTCTCCTTATGCTTTACTAGGGGCTAATTTCAAGTTTCATATTCAGCCTCTTCTCTGCTTGTCTTTCATTATTTTATGAACTTTTATATCACTTCTGGGCCTTTAATATTCTAGTGTGGCAAATTCTAATTCCTTTATGCATTCATCTATTTGTCCTTTTAAGAAACTATTCCTGACTGCCAAATAAGCATGTAGGATTAAAACACGGTTTTTACTCTCAAAATCTCTATTACAGAGTTAGGAAGGGAGATGCTCTCTGAAGACAATTGTAATTATGATAAGTAAGGCAGCCTAGAAGCACACCTGGAAGAAAACCAACCAGACTGTAAGACTCAGGGAATAATTCCTGAAAAAAGCTAGAAATTTGATGATGAAGAGTGAAGAAGTTACAGATTTCAGTCTGATATTAAGAATAGAGGTTTGGCTGATGATGTCTAGACAGCAAAGATGACAACTTCTACAACAGATAAATGTCAGATTTCCTTTTTTTAAGTAAAGATTGCAAACATACATGACAACAAGAAATGAAGATATTAAATAAAAATTTCAAATATACATATATATAACAGCAAAAAACGATATGAAATAAACAAAAATTTATGCAACACAGACTGATAATCCAAATACATTATCAGTTTGATATGATCTTCAAACATTATATGTTTCTTATTTTCTTTTCGTATTATATTTTTGAAATAATGTATTTACAAATAAAACAAAGTTACATATTATAGTTGAGAAACTCCTCAAAATTTTATGATTTATAAACTCCTAGGTTTTATTAATTTGATAAATATCATATGCTTGTTGATTGTATTACTTACATTTCCTAACAAAACTTCCCACTGAAAAGGAATATACTTATATTTGAAATCCAAAAACAACTAAAAGAGTTCACATTTTTAAGATCAGATTTTTCTGTTTCTATTTTATTATATCCCATACTTATTTTTATTATATTTTTATAAGCATAATGATAGAATTTAACACCAATACATATGTAATATTCTTCCCAAACAAATGAGTATGAGTTAAATCAAGCATATAATTTGGAGAAATCATAAAGTTGCCAGAGAAACCATCAATATGTGAAATGTGCAAAATCCTACCACATTCATGACCAGGTTTCTCATTTAATAGTGCACACATATGTATAAAAACATTACCCCCCACACATATACACAATGCATATTTTCTACAATACAATATATACTTTGGTATAATAAAACAGTGCAGTGATGTGTGGAATGTTTGTGATTTGTGTGATTTGAGAAAAACAAATATCATCTTTGAGGCAGTTGGAGAATTTGTAATATGTACAAGATACTGAATGATATTAATGATTTATTATCCATTTATTTAAGTATAGTTATGATAAAATTTACTTAAAATTAATATTTATCAGTAGAAAGTAGGTACAAAGATATATTGATAACATAACAAAATTTGTCTTAACAAATTTCCACCCAAACAAGCTGTAGTGACAGAAAAGGAAGTTTGCAGAAGGCAGAGATGAGAGAGAATGACAGATGGACCTTAATACTTTTCATACTAATATATACAGATTTCATAAATTCTCAAATAAAAGAGCAAAGAAAATGAGAACCAAAATAACTCATCAATTTGGTAGATCAACATATAAAGACAAAGATTAATGTTGATAAATTTTAAAAATCTGAAATGTAAAGCCTGAGATTTAGCTCAGTAGTGCTGTACTTGCCTAGCCAGAGCAATGTGCTGAGTTTAATCCCCAGCACCAGGGAAAGAAAAAGAAAAAAGAAAAAAGAAAAAAAAATAAAAGGAGCATATGTGCTTTCTAACATACTCAATAGATTGAAAATAAATTATTTGTTATCTCTTCCTCTTGAATTGTTCCCTTCACAAGGATGTAGTGGACTTCCTTGTTTCTTTCAATCAGTTTAGGCTTGAAATTTACTGTGTGACTAAGATTGCTACCCCTGCTTTTTTCTGGGCTCCTGATGCATGAAGAATTTTTCTGTCCTTTCACTTTCAGTCTATGGGCTTCATTTTTCACTAGGTGTGTCTTGTATACTCCATTCTGCCAGTCTATTTCTCTTGATTAGTGAATTGAGGCCATTGATATTGATGGTTATAACTGATATGTACTAATTATTGTCAAATTTTTTTTGCCTTCTCCTTTTAGTTTCTTACCTTGCCTATTTGATTTGCTCTGTTGGGCCTCATTGTGTTGTTACCTTCATTGTCTTTTCCTAGGATATTGTTTAGAGTTCCTTGTAGTGCTGGTTTGGTATTCATGAAGTTTCTCAGGTGTTCTTTGTCATGGAAGTATCTTATTTCCCCATCCATTTTGAAAGAGAGTTTTGCAGGATACATCAGTCTAGGTTGGAGGTTGTTCTCTTTTAGTACTTCAAATGTCTCATTCCATGCTCTCCTTAACCTAAGGGTTTGTGTTGAAAAGTCTGCTGTGATTCTGATGGGCTTTCCTTTGCATGTGATTTGTTTCTTATCTCTTACTGCTTGTAGTATTTTGTTCTTCTGTTGGGTTTCTGGGACCTTGATTATTATATGTCTAGGTGTAGATGTTTTTTGATCGTGGCTAGTTGGAGTCCTATATGCCTCACTTATCTGAATGTCAAATTTTTCCCCTCTGTTTGGGAAGCTTGCTATAATTAATTCTGTGAACAGCTTTTTTAAGGCCTTTGTATTTTCTCCTGCTGCTTCTATGATTCCTATCAGTCTATGTTATTCTTCTTTGCATTGTCTAAGAGCTGTTGGATCAATTTCTCATGATCTCCTACTGTTTTTAAGAGACCTCTCTTCTCATGGTCACTGACTGCAATTTTATCTTCTATATCTGAGATTCTACCTGTGGACTCTTTTATTCTGTTGCGAACACTCTCAATGGAGTTTTTAATCTCCTGGATATCTACTCAAATCTGCCCTGTGGATTCCATTTCTTTCTTATATTGGGTATTTATTGTTTCCAATTCTTTCTTATGTTGGGCACTCATGGCTTCTATTGTGGTCCTGAGCTCATCTGTTTTCCTCTCAGTTTCTGTTCTAGAGTCTCGAATTATAACTTTCATTTTCCTTGTCATCTCTATGATTATATGGAAAATTACTTCTGTTTTAAATTTCTCTAGAGCCTGATTGATTGGTTTTGTTACTTCCTGTGCTTTGAGTTCAGGGTGTCCTGATGGTTCACTGTCAGACTTTTCATCCTCATTTGCCCCACTGTTTGCCATTGGTGAACTGGAAGTCCATCCCTGTGTCTTGCTTAAGCATTTTCTCATTTTTACTATTGTTGTTGGGTTGTCCTTAGTTTAACCTTTAGTTTATTACTTAAACCTTCCTGGGGCTTCAGCCCATGGGTCTCTAATGACTCATAGACATTCTCATTTTCATAATACCGAAGAAAACAGCTCATTAAATCAATCAAATCCTTGATCCTAATTGATATAATGAGCACCACAATATGATCAAGCACTACTTGCAAATTGAACACTTGTGGTAGTCACTAGTCTATCACCTTCAAACAATGTGAATTAAATTAAAATCAAGAAGCAACCCAAAATGTGTTTGTAGTGAACAAACTTTTCAATAAGGATATTTACCATTTAGGATGGGGGCTTAAGTCAGAGTTAGGATGATAGGAGTAGATAAGTAAAAGAATTAGAGAAGGTTTCACATGAAGCCAGAAGACATAGAATGACCACACAATCATCAGGAAACTGTTAAATTCAAAAAGGATAAACAGAATAGAAGTATAATAGCACTTGAGTGAGGTAGAATAACATAAGAGACGAACATAAAGAAAAGAGAAAAAAGTAATAAAAGAAGAAATCTGAGTTAGGACAGGAGCAGAAACAAAAAGGGGAGATGAAGGATA